GAAGTTATTTAAAAAGTGGGTACAAGTTAAAAGTTTTAAAAAAAAATGGGTATAGGTTAAATGTGGGCGATCAAATAGAGCGCCCCGTGCAACTTTTACTTGGGGAATCATGACCTTATTTTGATAAAGCTTCTTTATGGGCTTGTATTTGGATGGTGTAGACCTAACACTGTTGTCCAGTGATGCAGGTCCAATTGGATCCCTGTTGTATATATATGATTTTCAATAATACAAAGCCACGTGAAGTTTGGGCCTTCCATCGGATCCCATGTGCAATTAATCCAGAAAAATAGCAAGGGCTAGTCAATTTTTGGACTGGTAATTGAAAAATAGCCAGTATTTTCAAAGTTATTAAAAAATAGTCACTATTTTGCTGCAACATGGAAAGTTCCAGCATAATATACTGGAGATTGGTGCACGTGTGTATGAACTTCCAGCATATTATGTTGGAACTCCAACACACGGAAAGTTCCAGCATAATATACTGGAGATTGGAGCACCTGTGTATGAAGTTCCAGCATATTATGTTGGACCAGTATATTATGCTGGAACTCCAGTATATTATCACGGAACTTCAGTATATTATGCTAGAATATTTTTCTGGTTTTGAACAGTGTTTTCGTTCGGATTTATCTTTACATAAAATTTGGCTAAATTTCAATTACTTTTGAAACTGTAACTATTTTTCAATTACCACTTGTAATTCTGGCTATATTTGAATTTCACCCATTAATCCTTGCTGAACCCAGTTTGCTAAGAGAAAATACCTTTAATTTGTTAAAACGTTTAATACCCAAATGTGGATTCACTTGTCCGCTCAAAAACCATTCCCTAATCAGAAGCGCCCTTTCAACATTCTTAACAATTGATTTCAAATTAGTACGACCTTTAAGTCCAAAACACACTCCATAATTGTAGAACCTTCACACACAATCTCAACTTTAGATAATAAATAATTGACCCATGAATCTGCGTAGAATGTTTTAGGCGCGCCTTTAATCTACTATCGTGATTATGTATACGTTCGCATAACATAATTATGATTCCAAAAATAAATCAAGGTATGCGTTCGTGTGACTTTGGCCAAACAATCTTAACAAATAATAAAGTGTTATTAATTGTGTACATGTACGCGTGACATGATTTTTAGCATACTAAATAAAACGGATTCGTACATACATGGTTCGTTTCAAGATAATTCCATAATGCCATAATCGAGTAATTAAAAAGTGATAAAAAGTGAAAATGCACATAGTTTTAAAATACCTAATAATCTGTTAATTAAGCCAGGTATGATTGTTAAGTGACCGTACGAAAATCACGGAATTAGGTGAAAGAAATTGAAAAGTTTTGATTTTGACGGAAGAATTTGATGGATTCTTAATCCTGATGCTGCAATGAGTTTCTTATCTACTATTTGCTTGGTTTCTTAGTTTTGTGGGATTTGTTTATAGAAGTAGAAAATCCAGAGATACACATGATATCATCTTTTATCTTTTGTTTCCAATTTTCCCTTTGTATTTATTTTTTTCGGTTTTTTTTTTATTTGCATTTGTTAACTTTACGAGAAGAAATCTTGTTAACATGCTGTTCACCAGCAATAGAAGTCAATTATTATGATAGATTACAGTGTTGGACCTGACTTTTATTCAGTGTCAATGTAATATAAACTTTTGTTAATAATATTTCCTTCAATATAAATGTTTGAGATTTATGTAGTATAATAGTATTAGTACTAAGATGGTGTTGAAAAATGGTATTGTTTAATACTTACTGAATAGGTTGATTTGGGATTTACTTTACTGTGGAATATAATCTGGCTACGTTTATTTTGTGTTAGAGTTTAGTAGAGTGCTAGTGTGATGTGTGTGTAAAAATGGTGCAGGTGGGTGCAATGAGGAATTGGGAACAAGTTTTGTGGTTTCTACTGTTTGTATTCTCCTATTTGGGATGTGCATGGCTCCTGATATTTGATGCCCAAACAGTGGATCAAGACATCAGTTGGCTCAACTTCACTGTGGGATTGGTCATGCTTGGGGCTTTCTGTCATGGTGGTAACTTCAGAATGTTTGAAGGCTCGTGTGCTTAATTGGCCTGGTTTGATCAAACCAAAATATGTGAAGTTCTGCACCATTGTAGGGCCGCTCGAGATGCTTGGAGTTATTTTCGCATTGGACTACAAAAAAGGTGATTTGGCTAGTCCTTTGCTGTATTGGGTTATTCTTACTGCATCGATCTCCAATTTTTTCATGCTTATGCTTTTGAGACCGGTTGCTACAGACTTCGGTTTATTTTACCCATTCTGCGTTCTGCCATTCGGTTTCTCCGTCAGAGAATATGGTAGATATGCTTTGGAAACTATTATGCCAGCGGTTGTTTGCATTATTCTACTGTGCGCACGAGCCACTTTCGAGACCATGACTATTTGGTATGTTGTTTCCTCAAATATTGTGTTAGTGTTTTGTAATGTATTTAGGGTTAGTTTCCTTTCAGAGCCCATGTGGAGAGAAATTGGTAGAGGTTTGTCTTAAGTAATTTTATGTCTTTATTTTGTAATAATTTGGCTTAGCACTAAATTTTTATTTGGTTAATACTATAATTGTAATGTTGTTCGACCACTGAAAAATATGTTCGTAGATGGAGTAGACATCACAAGTCTAATACCTGCTCCATATGCATGAATTGTGCAACTTTGTCGGCCCATAATATATTGTATTATTAATAATTAATATTATTCCCACCCCCCAATTAGTTCAGTAATAATGTTTGGTAGTTCTTTTTTGATTTATATTGTAGATGGATTGTAAATTTAAAGAGTTTGATTTTAACATTTACGCTTAATTTACAACAATAGATTAACTTTAATGAAATAATATGTATAAATATATTTTGATGCAATGTATTTTACCTAATGAAATTTTTTTTGAAACATATTAGAACAATTTACAAGCTCAAAGATTTTTCCATCATGTTGCTCATAATTTCCTCCTCTTCATCTCCACCCCCATCCAAACCCCACCCTTTGAGCAAGGAGATATGGACAAATTAAGTACCATATAGTAAAATTGATATCTTTTGGCACATACTAGTATACTCTTGTGTAATTAATGCTGTTAATATTTAACTTCTTAGGCCTAATACAGTCCTACTATTAACAATATATTGATATACAATATTATCCATCTATCGTTGTTTTTCTTTGTATATTATCCATTCCGTGATCATTTATTGATGATTTTATGATTTGTAAAGGAAGTTATATCTTCCGATTTGGTAAAAAAATATTTACTTGGTAAATATTATCGTCAAACAGCAAAAATGGTTTATTTTTAAAAAAAAATATGTTTTTCTTTACCAAACACACGTGTCTAGAGTTATCATGCTTAATCAAAGATTCTTATATATATATACGTGTACATCAATCTTGAATAGCATTTAAATTTGCAAAAGCAAAACTTCAGCTGATTATGTGAGTGTGTGGCTAGTTGTATTATATTTTATAGGCAAAATGGGCTAAATGATACCTATACTTGTCCCACTTGGTTATGCCGGTCATCCTACTTTATTTTTTTTTCATCCAAACACTTTAACTTGTTCAAAATTTATATTTTAAACCACTCTGACCGTTGACCAAGCACATGTGGCAAATAATGGTTGAGCTGGACAAAGTGAGTGTAATTCACGCGGATAATGAGCGTGAATATGAACATTTTGAACAAAAAATAATTAAAAGAAAAAGAAAAAATCATTAAAATAAGAATAAAAAATAAATAAGTAGCACCTTTAAGGGTCAATATAAGTGTCTTTCTCTTAATCGTTTTACTCCACCAATGTAGCTTGGTGGAGTAACTTGGCGGGATGACCCGGACGGTGACAACTTGCAACCAGTGTTTGTAGCCATGGCGGTGTCTCCAATCTCTTGCCTTGTCATCAATATTATAGATCTGAGCCTCAATTGGAAGGTTATTTTCTTAAGTGCAAAACCTACAGGCTCTTTTCCGTTAAATTTTGAAATTCAGAGGAGAAAACCAACAACCCTTGTTCCGCCATTGATTTTCCTCCATTTTCAGTCTCTGTTCCGCCATTAATTTTCCGCCATTTTCAATTTCTATTCCGCCATTGATTTTCCTCCATTAAAATGAGGGAAAAATTTGGGTTCGAGGGGATAATAATCATTTCCCGTTTTATTTCCTATGTGGCCATAATAAATGACCTGGAGCCTACATGGTTTAATATTCTTGACGTGGCAGCCAATGTGGAGGAGATTGTATTACACACACTGCAACCTCCTATCATAAGCGTTTATTATACACGTTTTGAAGGAGTGTAAGTGTTCAATTGGCAAATTGTTTAATTTGGGGACCGGCATGACAAAATAGCACAAGTATAGGTGCTATTTAGTTTAGTAGTTGTTCTCTTATTGAAATCTCTATCACAAAAGGAATCTCAATGACAACTTTGGACATTTGAATCTCAAACCCATGTAGTACTTGCTTTTTTTTTTTTTGGGTGAAAAAATAATTATGAACTCTATCTTGTCCAGACACAGGTTCAGTCGAATCCGATTGATTTTGTCCGGATCGTATATTTTATATTATGAAATTCACTAAATATGTACACTCGATGTCATTATCCTAGAATTTAGAACTCATAAAGTTGAAATACTCGCTTCGCTGCTTTAGGTTTCAAAGATTGAAAATTTGCAAGGAGAAAGAAATAAAGGAAACAAAGGGAACCATGTAGAAGCAGGAAAACGATCTGATTTATGCAAAGTGCAAATTCTGATTTATTTAATTTATAGGGAAAATAAAAACATAAATTGCAAAAATGGAATCTAATCCTATATTCAATTACCTTGATACAAGATTTCAAATCGCGACCTGGAGATAGGGCTGTTGAACTACTTTACTGCTTTCAATAAATGAACTTTATTCAATAAAAAAAAAAAAAAGTTAGATACACAAGAGACGCTTTTTCTAAATGTTTTGTCCAATTTTTCACTTAGACAACCAAAACTTTCTATTTTTGGGGCCCTTTCATAGAGGCAAATTCATTCAGTCTAATATTTAATAAAAATGTGCTGAACCCTGATGGAAACTGTGTCTAAATGTTCTTCCTTTTCTCCATTGACGTACAATTGATATGGTTTACACAGTGATAAGGGCACAAGATAAGCTATAAATAAAAAATTAGCTCGGTGCACAAAGCATCCCTCATTCATGCAAGGTCGGGGGAAGGGCCGCATTCTAAGGGGGTATGATGTAGACAGTCTACCCTAAAACAAGCATTAGTGGCTGATTCCACGGCCGAACCAGTGAGACCTATAGGTCACGCGGAAATAACATTACCGTTACACCAAGGACACCTCCAAATCAGACAGGCAGCCGCTCCGACTCCTTTTTAGGATGTTCAGGTACTTCGGGAGCACAATATATCATGTATCTATAGAAGCATAAACCAACGCAGAAGGTCAAAGCCAAAGCTCTAACTAACAATTCTCCCGTCCACCATGTAAACAAGAACTTGCATTACTAATTCCAGCAATAAGTCTTTTTCCACGATATCATATGATACGTGCATGAAGTGACCAAACACATAGAAATATGTGGTGCAACCTAGTAATAGAGCGAGATACCCGTAATTGAACTCCAAAAGGTGATGCAGGGCTGCTGCAGTCATCACAGGAATGACCTCGATCATAAATTTTGCCTTGGCACCAATTAGCTGGAAAGGCATGTCGCGATGCCAATAAACAACAGAATAGTGCGCAGTAAAATGAATTATAAAGCCACCCACCATGAAAAGGAACGTGAAAATTCCCGTATCATGTTCTAAATTCAGGAGGGCAGCGACTATACACAAGAAGGAAAAGTAACTATAACTAAGCCACCATATGTCTTTAAGCCTTACAAGACCCCCTGAAATAAACACGAGAAGAACATATTTAGCCTATGTTGCGCGGACTCTCCAAAATGTAGCCGCACCCGTGTCGGATCCTTCAAAAATGCACTACTTTTGGAGGATCCGACACGTATCCTGCCACATTTTCGGAGAGTCCGAGCAACATATTCAGCATCTCAAAGAAAGTTATGAAAACACAAAATCAAGCACACCAAGACCATGAACAAGCACAATTGGAGAGGGCAACTTGCAATAAGAACCACCACTTTCAAAGTCTAAAAAGAAGTAACTTCTCGTCTCCAAACTATATCAGCAAAGAAGTTGTGGCATTGTTCTGCCATCCAAACTAGAAAAACACTAAAATTACATCCGCTCCCACGAATATTCATAAATTTACGGCAATATCAATGACAAGATTATAACACACTGACTACATTGTCCAACTTATTACATTGTGTATACATTCCTTGAGTTCAGCTTCTTTCTGCTATATGAAATTTGTCCAATAGTCCACTAGTCTAAAAGTGTTTGTACACCCTACTTTAGTTGATTCCAGTACCAAGCATCATATACAAATGGATTCCATCTCAAAAAGCACCAGAAAATTACTGTTATGTACCAAATTTGAAAGATCCTAGAAGATATCCTAGGAATATTCATGGTACGTCCACTACCCCGTTAGGGATAGACATGATACTTATTAAGTACACGTGAATTATCGTACTCATATTATCTGCACATTTCCGTGCAGACTCTGTTCCTGGTACTAGCGGGATCCAGGAGATAGAGTTGGGCTGATACTTCGATACTTTGCTGAGCTGCCTTGCTTGGATTCGCAGCTCTATCCCTCTCATTAAGACTACCAAGTTAACTATCTGTTCGTATGTGATAGATTTCTAGGATTAAAACACATAATTTCAAGTCAAGAAACACAATCTTTAGGTGAAAAGACTTACCATCTGATTGACCGCCAAATGCCTCTGGAAGCCTAATCTTCTTGTAAATTGAAACCACGACCTTCAAGCTCTGCGTGCCCTTCTGATAGCAAACCGTCGCATTGCCACAGGGAGAGGCACATAGAGGGATAGCATCACCCATCTGGCTGCAGATAGATTTCATGTATTGATTTATATTTTGCCGTCTTACAAGAAAGGGATAAAATTAAGGAGAAGGATATGTTGAAGAAGCTGTTTTTTCACTAACAACTGCAAAAAAAGAAAAAAAAAAAAAAAACAACATCCCAGTGTATTCCCACAAGTGGGGTCTGGGGAGGGTAGAATGTACGCAGCCTTACCCCTACCCTGGAAGGGCAGAGAGGCTGTTTCCGGAAGACCCTCGGCTAAAGAGAAGATGTAAAAAGCGCTGATAACAAGAAATAACAATTAAGGATGGCCTAATTTGTTTGCACTTAATGAGGTCTGAATTTTAATCATCCAGATCTCAGACATTAAGTGCGTTTGTTTTTAAAGTCTGAATCTTATTTATTCAAATCTTAATCACTAAGTGTGTTTGTTTTTTTTACTTTGCAACCACTTAATGAGTCTGAATAGGTATGTATGATTAAGATCCATAACAGAGACTTAATTTCATTAAGATGCTATCATCCATATTCATTATTAATTATCGCCACTGCCTACCATTATCAACTACCACCATGCCGCCACCACCACCATACTCAACCACCACCATCATTCTCAATGATAGCCGCCACCATAATCGACTACCACCACTCACCAACCGCACCACTCCCACAACCATCATTCTCAACCACAAACAACACTCATCCACCTCAACTACCACAACTAACTGCCCCATCACCATCAACAACTATAACCGGCACTGCACATCATTATTAACTACCACCACCCACCACCACCTTCCTCAATCACAGCTACCACCACCATCCACCATTATTAACTATCACCACTCACTACCACCATCCTCAATCATAATCGCCACCACTTCTAATCACCACTAACTACTACCCAGAACCACAACCATCAACCAAACCTACCACCAACCACCGCCTCTAGTCGGCATTCACAAGCACCACCGTTAGCTATCACCACCAGCAACTACCATATTTTAAAAAAATTATATATTTTATTGATAGAATATTAGATTAATTAGTATTTCATTTGAATTTTATGTTTATTAATTTTCAAATAAAGATAATTTTTATACATTCAGATGTTAAAAATCAAACAGTCTTAATCATCTAGTATTCTGAATATATTAAGATGTGTATTCAGATTCAGATGTCTTAATCTTAATATACATCTTGATATTCAGATATATATCCAGATTCAGACGTCTTAATCTTAAAAAAACAAATGAGGCCTTAGGAATCTAAATCATAGATAACAAAGGAGAATTAGAAAAGAATAAATGCAGATGGCAATTTTGGCAAAAGAAGTTGAATATAAGGGGCTAGCAACATCAACAATATACAACTAATTCATAAGTAGGCCAGAGATATCAAATGATCATAAAGTATTCACACAATAAGACAGGTTTATCAACTTCATAACACTACCTTAAACACTAGTAAAGACTTAAAAGTTAATACCCATATAATAAATTTGCAGAAACGTTACTGATTAGATTACCTAAAAAACTTCAAAGGGTCATCAGAAAACACAACCAATCATACCACTTTCGAATATTTATTTTTTTAATAGAAATTAAACCATGTTAAACAAATTGCAAAAACCAGGACTAAAGGTTGGATTTTTTGTTTTAAACTTTTATATGTTCTTTTAGGGTTTAAAGACTGAAAATTTGCTTCGAATAAACAATGTAGGAGGGGGATAAACAACTGTGTAGAAGTATTAGAGAAAAACTGCAAAAGGTCTGAAAACTCAAAAATTATACAAATTGCAAAACTCTGACTAATTTATTTATTTAAAAATAATAATAATAATAATAGATTAAATTCAACTACCTTGACGAAAAAGATCCCAATTGTGCTGCGACCTTCAACAGGAGAAGAGAAAGAACGAGAATGAGGGTTAAGGGGAAGGAGTTATATTCCTGCCAAAGAAAGGAACGAGAAATAGAAAAATAAAATAAAAATTTGCTTGGCGTTTTTGACTAATCCTTAAACAGTGGAGTAATACGTAATTCCAAGAGTTCTTACACCTTTACTATTTATAGTACGGTAATATGATGGCATGAGTCACTTATGGTAATAGCCATAATTAAGCGGTAATTTTTTTATTTAATTAGTAGTCATTCGTTTTCATTGCCGGGTAAGAATAGCCATAATTAAGGTGTAATTTTTATTTTGTAGCCATTCCTTTCATTGCCCGGAGTAGGAAACTAGGAATAGCCATAGTTAACGTGTAATTTTTATTTTGTAGTCATTCCTTTCATTGCCCGGGTAGGAATAGCCATAAGCCCAAATTAACGTGTAATTTTTATTTTGTAGTCATTCCTTTCATTGCGCGGGCAGGAATATTATGTATCTTTTGCTTAATTAAAAGCGTATGGTATGTCTATAAATAAACCTATTCTGAGAAAAGGAAAAAAATATTAAGACAAACACACATTTCTCTTCAAGTCTCATTTTGTTATTGCATTTTTAGCAAGATGAACCTTGAACAGAAGATGTGGCACTCTCTCTTTCTGCTTGCTTATGTTATTTCCGCGATACTTTTGCTTTGGGAATTAGGTTCATTTAATGTGGTTGGAAAAGCTAGACTGAGTTGCTACACTATAGCTGCTCTCATGTTTTTTCCATTAACTCTACTGTTATTCGCTCAAGAACTAAGAAAAAAGTATGTTGATATCGTCAAGTCAAGAAGTACAGTTATTGTGTCTAAATATGCTCGTGCATGCAACAATGTTGGACCATTTGTGGGACTGTGGGTGGGAATGATAGTAAACAGCCAAGAATCCATTGGCTTATTAATACATATGTTTCTTCTTGGTTCAACTGTTTATGTGTTTTTCATGCTCATGCTAATTAAGCCAGTGACTAGTGACTTTGGGATTTTTAACTTGCTGTCTGCCGTTACTGTTGGCCTTTCTTTGAGGGATTATAAGTGTGGATGGCAGACATGGCTGGCAGCAATTATTTGCAGCATTCTGATGGTGCTAAGGAATGTCTTTGAGCTGTGGCCAGTTTTGGCAGATAGCCACAGTACTAGGATCGATGAATTTGCTAGCCTTACTGAGGCTGAGACTGATTAGGATTAGATACTGTTGATTAGTAGATGAGGTTAACAATATTGCAATTTTTATTTGAAAGAAGGTTAAATTGGAAGGGTTTCATTTCTTATGTTGTTCTTTCTGTTTGTTAGTTTTCTATGTAAGATGGTTTTCCCTGAAAAAAACAATACAGATTAGTCTTGCAAAATAATGAAAAGAACTGATATAGACACATTAAGAGCACGTTTGGACATAAAAAAATATTGAGAAATTTTCATAAAGCACTATCTTTTAGTAGTAATTAGCCATCTATAGATACCATTTGCTATATTACGGATTAAAGATACCTTTTCTGCGGTTATAAGATGTATTTGATGTATTTAAGCTATTGTATTCATGAATACAATAGCAAATATAGGCGTGAATCAGGGAAGTCCAGCTAATTAGTTCTTGTATTCGACTGTATTCATGGAGTGAAACATGGGATTACAGCTGGACAGATTATTGTATTCGACTGTATTCACTGCGTGAAATAGGGGATTACACTGTTTTTAAAACGGAAAGTGAATCAATTAACATAATAGACTCCTAATATAACTCAACAAACTCAATTATAACACACAAATTTTGTATTTTCAGTTATAAAAAAGATTCTCAACCGAAAATACCCCAAAAAACATAGCAATCTTCAGAGAAATTATATAATACATCTGAATACATAAATTATATTAATTAAAAAAAATATATGAATACATTCATGGCATATAGCGAGACAGTGAATACAATGAAATACATAGAATACAGCGGGATACATTGAAATACAATGGAAAAAAAATAGTGAATACAATGAAATACAATGACATACATTGAATTACAATTGAAAAAAAGACAATGAATACAATGAAATACATGAAAATACATTGAAATATATTAACAGAAAATCAAGTTGCTCAGCCCCAAACTCCGTCGTCTTTGTTCAAGAAAAAACCCTAATTTCCGGCGAATCCGCCGTTCACCAAAAGCCGGTAGTGAAAACGCGCCGCCTTGGTCTGGCGATGGTGCCGGAGCCGAGGTCACTTCCTGAGCAGAAGCAACCGCCGATACGCGAATCAAAACCCTTCTTTCATGGCTTTTGCATAGCTCTGTGTACGTGTACCCATGAGTGTGGTCTCTTCGCATAAATTAAAGGATTATTGATTAATCGATAGGGATAAATCGATAAGCATGGACTAATTAGATTAGGGTTTACAGCCCTTAATTTTACTGAGCTGAGTTGGGGCTGGCCTTAATCACATCAGCAAGGCGTCATACATGGAGAAAGAGGCGGAGAGAGAGAGGAGGTAACCATGGAGAAAGATTGGCGTTGAGAGAGAGAGGGGGTGGAGAAAATCTGAAAGAATGAGAGAGAAAAATAATACAAAGAGTATTTTATGGCTTAAGAGTAAGAGGTAATCATAAATAGATATTTGGCTATAAAAATCAAAAGGTAGCTATAGAATATAATTTTTTAAAAGGGTATTTATTTAAAATAAATAAGGTATCAACCTTTGCTATAGGAGGTAAAAATTCCAAAAATATTTCCCCCTTTTTTGGAAAAATAGTCACTTTTTTCGAAATTGGCATTTATTCATAAAATTTCCAATTTTCACTTGAAGATGCATTTTGGAATTTTACGAAAATTTAAAAAACTCCAAAAACAACCCAAAATTATATTCATGTCCAAACACAACTCTAATTTTCAAATACCATTTTCACTTGAATTTATTTTTTTTTACTTTTTTTTGGAATTTTACAATTCTTATGTCCAAACGCCCACTAAACATCGTCTATGGAAATATGGCTACATATATTTCAAGAGATAAAAATCACAAAATCAAGAATTAAGAGGTTTCACACCATACAACAACAAATTCGGTGTAATCCCACAAATGAAGTCTGGATAGGGTAATGTGCACGCAGACCTTATATCCCTACTTTGTGAAGGTAATAGGGAGTTTGTTTTCGATAGATACCCTCGGTTCAAGGAATAGCGAAAACTCCTATTTACAGAGAAAGCAACTAGCTTTTCATTATCACAGGAAGTAAATACATTATTTACTTATTCTATTCAATGAACATAACATATAGGACGGAAAGAAAGGAATGAAATATAGATTAGCTAGCTTCGTGCAAAAAAGCTTGAAATGCCAGTTTTATAGAAGTGATATTTTGTGACCTGAACCTACACCTACCTGTTCATTAATACTACAGCATCAGAAAAGGAAGCAAAGTTGAGGCGTTACCTGTTGCAACTGAGGTGTTAGGAATTGAAGTAGGCAAGACGCTAAATTCTCATTGGAGCCTCTCCTATCAGCCTGAGCAGTATTTGACACACTATTGAAGCATGTACAAACAATGCGATTGCAGTCTCTTGTTGTAGGAGATCCAGTAAAATATGTAGTAGTCTTTTGGGTATTGCAGTCCATCCTAAATGCTAGTCCAATAAAATAGGCAAACCTAATCAGTTCGCAACAATGTACGTATTGAAGTATAGAACCATGAAAGGGGAACGTTCGCGTAATTGAGTTGCTGTCATGTGACCAGCAGGTCACGAGTTCGAGCCGTTAAAACAGCCTTTTTGCAGAAATGTAGCGTAAAGCTGCTGCGTTCAATTAGACCCTTATGATCCAACGCTTCCACGGACACCGTGCATAGCGGGAGCTTAGTGCACCGTGTTGCCCTTTGAAGTATAGAATCATGGAGAAAGTCCAGAGGATGAGAAGACATCATTGTTGATGAGGTCTCATCATTTTTGAAGTAACAAAGCAGCAATAAGTACAACAACAACAACAACGACCCAGTAAAGTCCCACTAAGTGGGGTCTGGGGAGGGTAGAGTGTATGCAGACCTTACCCCTGCCCCGATAGGGCAGAGAGGCTGTTTCCGATAGACCCTCGGCTCAGGAAGATGGAAATAAAACAAGAAAACAAGAAAAGACAATTCATCAGTAACGTCAACATAATCATAGAAATAATGACAGCATCCTAAAAACCATAAAATAGATGACATGCAATAACAATAACCCGCAACTAAGGTCCAGAGCTATGGAAAACAATAAGGTTAGTGTGAACTCTACATTAACCACAAGCCGTCAAGGACCAACCTACTCAAACTCGCTTCACCCCCGGAATAGAGAAGGAGAAGCTCGACTAGCACTCTATCCTACAACCCTAATGCTCGACCTCCAGACCTTCCTATCAAGGGCCATGTCCTCGAAAATCTGCAATCGTGCCATGTCCTGCCTGATCACCTCTCCCCAATACTTCTTAGGTCGTCCTCTACCTCTTCTCGTACCCACTAAAGCAAGCAGCTCACACCTCCTCACCGGAGTATCCAGGCTTCTCCTCCGCACGTGCCCGAACCATTTGAGCCTCGCTTCCCGCATCTTGTCCTCCACCGAGGCTAATAAATGTAATATACTGACATGACGTGGTTTAGACATCTACGCACTCTTGCTATGAGCTAAAGAGGATCTAAAGTAAACTATAGCAAAAGCTTTCAGTATGACCAAACAACATGATTTGGACTTACTTCTTTAGACTGTTCCTCAAGTCAGTCCTGTTTCTTTCATTTTACATACAGTAAACTAATACAAGGACATTTTATCAAACAACTTGTATGCATTCACCAACAACAGTTAAATAAAGAGCAAAGAGCCAAAGGATTAAAACATTAGATTTTTAAATGTATAACACGATCCATGACAATGTAAAATATAATACTATCAGTGTAATTTTAATTGTTATAACAAATTATATAAACATATGTTATTATATAAATATTGTCACTATACATAGTTTAAACTAAAAAAAACCCAAGTATTTGACTTGTTTTACGACAAATGTAATTGGAAAAATGACACTATATAACCGGAAAAATAATAGTCGAAAAAATATATAAAATTTATATATTATTTTGTGTATATATA